CTGGTCTCCGTTGCAAAGTTATGAAGTTTTGGTTAAATTCCTGAAATACGGGGCAGAAATACTGGGTTTTACAGAACGGAATAGCTCCAAGGTTCCCCAGAGTAGACCACCCCTTTCTCATTAACGGCTCACCCAGCATATCCTGGTCTCCGTTGCAGAGTTTTGAAGTTTTGGTTAAATTCCTGAAATACAGGGCAGAAATACTGGGTTTTACAGAACAGAATAGCTCCAAGGTTCCCTAGAGTAGACCACCCCTTTCTCATTAACGGGCGCATACAGTCTCAGTAATTCACTCTGAGACGTCACTCGGAAAAAGAAGAAAAGGTTTCATTACTTACTATTGAACGGCTCGATGGCAAAGCTGACAAACAAGACGGACCGAACATGTCCAACAGACTTCAGAAGACTCTAGAGAGGGGAAAGTGGCTGAGCAGAGAGGCGGGGCTCTAGAGTCAGGGAAGGAATGATTGGTTGCTGCTGGATAGATTGACAGTTGCCCCAGCTGTGACAGGTCCCTCCCAGCCAAAGCTGCTAAAGTCATCTTGCAAGGTTGCAAAAACCCCAGCAGTGTAGCAGGACCAAGTTTAGTCAAAAGCGCAGCAATGCCCCAGGCACCAAAATGTGTTGTTAGATGTGTGCTTCTACCATGTTTCATGTAATCGAATGGGAACATGGTGTCTTGCCATTGTATGATAACACCAGGAGTCACTATGGGTTCAATCTGTTTTTCTTCCAAAGCGTGTCGTTTTTGGCCTTCCTTGCTTGCTCAAGCCCAGGATCTGACATCCCCAGCATCTCTGGCAGGGGAAGGTTTCTGCCATCATTTTGCATTGATCCGTTTCCGGGGAGACGCCAAGGGCTTGCCCGGGTGCAAAGGACGCCTGCATCCCTTCCGGTTCCCCTCCTTGGAGAAACACAGCGGTTTGGGAATTGTGCCTTCTCCCAGGCAAGACGGGAACTGCCTCTAACCCGAGGGAGACGTAGCGACTGCCTATAAATACCTGCCACAGACTTCGAGCCGGAAAAGAGGGGGCGTAGGCTCGTTTTAGTCAATGAGAAGCGGTGAAACACCACATTTTTAAGTCCCCGCTAGAGGCAGGGAGGTGGAACAATGAATCGGCAGCACAAGCCACAGAATCCTGGGCTCACCCTCCTGGATGGGCCATCCACGGGGGTGGGATCAGGAAGGAGGCAAGGGTTCATCGGCAAGGTGACCCATGCCCCCAAAGGCCCCGATAGGACAGGAAAAGCTGTGCCCTGTCTTGCTTTACATCATTTGCACAAGGGCAAGCTCCCTGGCACAAGCAAAAAGTGCTGCTCCCAAGACTCTGGAACTCCCTGCCACTAGAAGACAAGCTGGCCCCCATTTTTGCTCTCCTTCCACAAGCAGGCAAAGACCTTTCTCTTCCGGCAGGCTTTCCCGGAGTGGAGAGTTTTCAGTGGATCGTTATACCCTTACTGTTTCGAACCGGTTTTCGGGGTGGCATTTGTTCCATCCTTTTAAGAATTTGTATACTTACTGTTTTTAACTTGAAACTTATTTTATGATGTAAGCCGCTTCCCCAGATAGTCTACTCCTTTCTCATGAACCGGCACTGAAAGTCTCAGTAACCCACTCTGAGACATTGGTAGGAGAAAGAATAAAGACATATCTTTACTTACAGTTGTGAACAGATAAACAGTAAGCAAACAAACTTTTTACAACAGAAAAAGAGAGAGGGAAAAGGACACTCAGCAGAGAGGCGGGACTCTCTTTGAATTCAGAGTCAGGAAGGAATGATTGGTTGATGCTGGGTAGATTGGCAGTCACCCCAGCCCAGAAAAGCCACACCTAGTCTCTCAAACTACAGGTAGCCTGCGAGGTTGTAAAAACACCAACTTAGACTGGCAAGTCCTGTCAAATCTGGCTGAAACGATGGATGCTGTGACTCATTACATCAGTAGGGCATTGGGTTGGGAAAGCGGGTTCAAGACACCACCCTGTCTACAGGTTGCCAGTTTCCCCAGTAGCTTTTACAAACCATTCCAAGCAGCCTGTTTTTCCTCCCTATCCTCCCAAGAAAAGCGGGGCCTGCTGGCTTTTGCTTGTCAATCCTCTACATACAGAAGTGCACGTGGTTCTTTCAGTCCGTTGGCAATCCATGTATGGGAGAGAGAGAGAGAATTCTCTGCTGGGAGAGGCTTGGCCATGATGGAAAAAAAACCTACATGGCATCATATATGCAGCGTGATTAATTTAGATGGGAAAATGGAATGTATTATTTTAAGCGTGCCTGCTGCGGTCACTCTTGATTGAGGTCTCATAATAGCCCAAGCCATGCTAGCCTTGCAAATCAAACACCCACTTAAGTACTTCTAAGCAAATAGGCTCCTGGCCTCGTACCAGGAATTATTACGCAGTCATTTATAGCCATGCTTTCTGTGCGTCTGAGTTGCCTTATGCCAGCGTTCTCTCACGTGCCTGATCACATTTTCCCTTTGCCGTATTTTTTTTCTTGTTCTTGATTCTCTATTAATCATCTTTATCACCATCGTCGTCGTCACTGAATTGCCGAATAACCCAGTGGTTTCTGTAGGTCTCTGGCTCAGAGGTTGGGAGTTCGATTCCTCACAGCGCCTTCTAGACAGGGGCTGTCCTTGATGATCCGTAGGGTCCATTCAAGCTCTGCAGTTCTAAGATTCATTTATTATTGTCGTCGTCATCATCTTAGAACCGCAGAACTGGAAGGGACCCAACCTCTGGCTCTGCATCCAGAAGAAGGCAAGAAGGAAGACCACAAAGGGGAGAGAACTTATCTCATGGGCTCATTGTGAAGACAAAAGGCAATCAAGATTAGAAAGTGCACAAAGAAGTTTTAGAAACGCTTTTCGGTCATCACGATGAGCTAGAGTGGTGTTAAGTGCAGAATGAGCAACAACGATGGGCTCAAGTTACAGGAAGCCAGATTTCAATTGAATATCAGGAAAAAACTTCCTAACTGTTAGAGCAGTAAGACGATGGAAGCAGTGATCTCAAGAGATGGTGAGCGCTCCAACATGGGAGGCGTTCAAGACAACCCCCTGGCAGATATCCTTTGATTCTGTATTCCTGCATCAAGCAGGGGGGTTGGACTTGATGGCCTTATAGGCTCCTTCCAACTTTGCTGTTCTAAGGAAACTGGTTTCCAAGCGCCAGGGGAAATCTGTTTTAAGAGCCATAGAAAGGAAAGGTAGGACTTCCAAAGCAGGCAAACAACACAGGGGGAACTGAAGTAGGGAATAGAAGACAGAACACATATATGAATTGCCCTATTGGGGAAAGTTTTTCAGTTTCTGTACGCTTGTCCAGGAGTCAGTATGGTGTAGTGAACAAGGTGTTTAGCAAGGATTCAGGAGACTTGGGCATGAAAACTGACTGGAGAGTGGCAATGATATACAGTGGTGCCTCGCTTGACGACGTTAATTCGTTCCAGCGAAATCGCTGTAGAGCGAAAAAGTCGTCAAACGAAATTTAAAAAAAAACACCATTGAAACGCATTGAAAACCGTTCAATGCTTTCCAATGGGCTGAATACCTGCTCGTCCAGCAAAGATCCTCCATACGGTGGCCATTTTCTGGTGCCTGTTAAGCGAAAAAGCCTTCCTAAAAACATCAGGGGGGCATTTTCTTCAGCCGCGTGGCCATTTTGAAACCCCACGATCAGCTGTTTACTGATCGTCGTAAAGCGAAAATTGGTTCCCGAAGCAGGGAACCGATCATCGCAAAGCGGAAAAACCCAATTTAAACCATCATTTTGCGATCGCAAAAACCTAATCGTACAGCGATTTCCTCGTTAAGTGAGGCAATAGTTAAGTAAGGCATTACTGTATGTATTTATTGCACTACTGCATAGATCATAGCATGGGGGGGGAACCAGTCAATGAAGCTAACATAAACATGGGGAAAAAACAGTTACAATTAATACAGATAAGTTAAAACATGTTGAATATTCATACCTCTATGCTGGCTGGATATAAAGTTTGGAAGTTCGGTTCCCACTGTGTATCCTGAGAGAAAGGCATTACTGTATGTATTTATTGCACTACTGCATAGATCATAGCATGGGGGGGGAACCAGTCAATGAAGCTAACATAAACATGGGGAAAAAACAGTTACAATTAATACAGATAAGTTAAAACATGTTGAATATTCATACCTCTATGCTGGCTGGATATAAAGTTTGGAAGTTCGGTTCCCACTGTGTATCCTGAGAGAAGAGCCAGCCTGTGTAGCCTTGGGCCAGCTGCACAGCCTTAGTATGCCCCTCCCCCGAAAAAGTGGAAGGGGAAACCACTTTTGAGCACTCTGTACCTAGAAAAGTCAAGAAAGAGTCGCTATCCGTCATTCTTGACGTCACCCAACTATCATGATGTGTCTCTCTAAAGTATAGACAAGACTTTGCTTATAAAACAAATTCAAATGGCAATGAAATAAACTTTTAGCAGATGGCTCCGGGTGGATTTGATTAGACGCCAATCATACTCTTTATGTCTTCGAGTCTCCATGACGATTTGCAGAGAGGGAGTCCACAGACGTCTGGAGAAGGGCGGCAGGGAATGCTCCTTGAAACATTTGGCATGCTTGAAAACTCTTGAGGAGGGCCGTCGTCAGCACTGCCCTTCGGTGGGTCATTCAGCGGCTCTCTGGGCATTCTGCACTCGTGATGGATAACCTATGTTACACCAGCTCTCAAAGACCTAATGATTTGATACAGAGCTTGGGAACTCGACGTTTGTTTGTAATGGCCAGAATCCCGCCCCCCCAACTGGGATTTTGGGAGTGTTGGTCTTAGAAAGCAAGTTCCTTGAGTATTATGTTTGATTTTCACGTTTTAGTGTCCCAATAGCAGTCTTTCAGACTGACCCAGATTTGGAGTTTTCGCAGCGTCTTTGCTTCCATTTTGCTCCCAGCTGGACACCCTTCATGCCACAATATGAAAACTGACACCGTTCCTTCTCCCCCCCCCACATCTTTTCCTCCAGTGTCACCATGAGTGCTGGTTCTATTGAGCAAGAGCCTTTGCGCAAGCTGGCTTGCTGCGGAGTGCCCCTCATCACGGAGGACATGCAGTCGCTGGCCATCCGCACCCTCTCGGGCACGGACATCAACAAACATTACGACCTCATCCGGGAGCTGGGGAAGGGGACCTACGGCAAGGTGGACCTTGTCTCCCACAAGAGCACAGGTGAGCACCGCAAGATCCCCCTCTGGGCGGAGGTCCAGGCCAGGCAGTGACGTCAACGCCAGGCGCCGCTGGACGACGGCAGGGCGCTCTACGTGGGGCACTTATCCTCACTTCTTGATGCATTTTAAACATAAAACATTTATTTCTTTTACTCTCTTGTACACTGACTGCTGCAAAATGTTTTATGTGGGGCAGTATGCAAATTCTATGGGGACGTGGTGGCGCTGCGGGTTAAACCGCAGAAGCCTCTGTGCTGCAAGGTCGGAAGACCAGCCATTGTAAGATTGAACCCCCGCGACGGAGGGAGCTCCCGTCGCTTTGTCCCGGCTCCTGCCAACCTAGCAGTTCGAAAGCATGTAAATGCAGCTAGATAAATAGGTACCACCTCAGTGGGAAGGTCACGGCGTTCCGTGTCTAAATCACACTGGCCACGTGACCACGGAAGCTGTCTACAGACAAATGCCGGCTCTATGGCTTGGAGACGGGGATGAGCACCGCGCCCTAGAGTCGGACACGACTGGACTAAATGTCAAGAGGAACCTTATCTTTTTATGCAAATTCTATAAATATTACATCAGATAGATAGACAGAAAAGACCGATACTAATTCTTATATACTTTATTAGGGTCTCCAGAGACCTCCTGAGACTTCGTATTAAAGGTTTACAAAGACTTGAGATAAAATGGAAAGATTTATTTGACCCTGAAAAAGAAGCATTTTATGGTGTAACAGAGGGACCGGGGTAAGGAGGTGTCCTTTATACTGTAATTTCTGCTATCCTGAATTTTAGCCCACCCTGACCCCATCACAGTGAATGCAGATAGGGTATCCTATCATCTCCTCATCTAATGGATCTCAGCCTTGCCTGTTTTCATGGTGGCATAGAAATATTCCAGGCTGAATCTGGATAGAACGCCTATGAAAGCTTCCCCTCCTTTTTTTTGTATTATCCAAAAAAGATAAATCAAATTGATCTCCTCAGCCTTCTTCTTCCTTCTGCTACTCTCCCATTATCAGGTACCAAGATGGCGCTGAAATTTGTCAACAAGAACAAGACCAAGCTGAAGAACTTTCTGAGGGAGTTTAGCATCACCAATACACTGTCCTCCAGCCCGTTCATCATCAAGGTCTTCGACGTGGTCTTTGAGACCGAAGATTGCTACGTCTTTGCCCAAGAATATGCCCCGGGAGGGGATCTCTTTGACATCATCCCTGCACAGGTAAAGTAGACCCCGGTTTTCATGGCTCTTCGGCCACGGGCGTCCCTCATTCTTCGTGAGGAAAACAAGGATCCTTGACCCGAATGACAATCGTTTGAACCTCGTTTCTTAGACTCTTTGCTCTTCAGGATGTCTCAAAATGAACGTAGCGCAGAATGGAGAAGATTCTGCCCACGGTGTCTTCTTCTCAACTCGTCCTGTACACTGTGCGGTTAGGGGTTTTAAAATCGGCCTCCCATTCGGAGCGATGCCAGGTTTATTCCAGGCCTCATAGCCACATAGAAAGCAATGGGGGTGGGGAGGAACTGCTGGGAACATTAAAATTATCCCTCCCCCAGCAACAGACTTCTCGGGAAAGAGGTTTGGTGAACATCGCCTGCGTCAGGCGTTCCCTCTCTTGCTGGTCCTGGTTTCCCCAACACACAGCAGTTCAGTTTCGAAGAAGCCATGGAACAAATGACTATTAGAGTGTGATTTTCAGTCTGTATATGTGTGTTTGTGTGCATTTGTGTGTGGATGTATCCAAAGGCATAGGTGGACATGTGGAGGTTTATAAAGAGATGTACAGCAGTGCCTTGCTTTACGATTGCCCCGCATTACGATAAATCCGCTTTACGACGATCTTTTTGCGATCGCAATTGCGATCGCAAAACGATGGTCTAAATGGGGGAATTTCGCTTTGCGATGATCGGTTCCCTGCTTCGGGAACCGATTCTTTGCAAAACGATGATTTTTCAACAGCTGATTGGCGGTTTCAAAATGGCCGCCGGGTAAATAAAATGGTCCCCCACTGTGTATAGGGATGGATTCCTCGGTATACAGGCAGCGAAAATGGCCGCTGTATGGAGGATCCTTGCTGGACAGTGAGTTTTAAGCCCATTGGAACGCATTGAAAGGTTTTCTGTGCGTTTCAATGGGCTTTTTATTTTCGCTTTACAATGTTTTCGCGTAACGACGATTTTCCTAGAACGGATTATCGCCGTTAAGCGCGGCACCACTGTATTATGTATCTGTAACATAGACCCAGTGGGGCACTGGATCAGTATCAGCATTCTGGATATCATTTGCAGGTGATCCAGTGAGTATGTTTGTAGGCAGTGCCATTACCTGAATGGATGTAACCCTTAAGGGCATAGCCAGGGAGGGCTGACATTATGACGGAGTGGGATAGATGTACCCAGCTGTATTACGCAAAACACGGTTTCGGTTCCCAGGCTACAGTCTAGGGAGCAGAACAGCTCTAAAGAGGATAGATGTTGGACAGTCCCAAGGTGAGGTTTCACACAAAGCTAACTGGTTCAAAGAATGCTAAATATTTTTCAGGCTGCTCTGTGAACGGCTGTGCTAGGCCAAAAGCTATCCTGTTCTTTGGAGCCAGACGGCTGTAGCGTTGAGGGTTGCTCTCTGAAAAAAGATGTCAGGGCTCCAGTACGTTTACTTTTGTGTGGTAGAGGGAATCCCACAAGGGGCACTTGTTGACATTCCCTCTTCTACACAACTGTTCGGAGAGCCTTGTGGTGCAGCGGTTAAACTGCAGTACTGCAGTAAAGACTCTGCTCAGGACCTTTTTCTCACGCAACCATCCTCAAATTGTCCCCTTGGACATCAACAGGCTATGAAGAGATGAACTGACTTTGTTGGGATGTCATACTTGGCCTTGGGGCGTCCGTCCCGCTGACAATTCCTTGCTCACCCTCTCTCTCTCGGTTGGCAGGTGGGGCTCCCCGAGGACATGGTGAAGCGCTGTGTGCAGCAGTTAGGTCTCGCCTTGGATTACATGCACAGCAAAAACCTGGTGCATCGAGACATCAAGCCAGAAAATGTCCTCCTTTTCGACCGTGACTGCCGGCGGGTCAAGCTGGCGGACTTCGGCATGACACGGAAGGTGGGGTGCCGGGTGAAGCGCATCAGCGGGACCATCCCGTACACGGCGCCGGAGGTTTGCCAGGCTGGTCGGGCGGAAGGCTTTACCGTGGACACCAGTATCGATGTGTGGGCTTTCGGGGTGCTCATCTTCTGCGTGCTGACGGGGAACTTCCCTTGGGAGGCCGCCTCAGCCTCAGACACCTTCTTTGAGGAGTTTGTGAGGTGGCAGAAGGGGCGCCTGGCGGGCTTGCCCTCCCAATGGCGACGCTTCACAGACCATGCGCTGCGCATGTTCCAGCGCCTGCTGGCCCTCGACCCGGAGAAACGCTGCCCCGTGAAGGAGGTTTTCTTCTTCATCAAGTACGACCTGATGTCGGAAGTCCGTCGCCGCCCCTCTTACCGCTCCCGCAAGCACGCCGGGGACAAGCTCTCGGCTGGCCCTCACCGCCACGAGACGCCCAGCGCCTGTACCCCTACCCCGCTCAAAAGAACCATTCTGACGGAAGGCAGTGTCTCCCGACTCTCTGGCACAGAGTCCGGCCTCCCTTCTCCAGCGGGAGGGAGCAGAACTGACGGGCGTCAGGACAAAGGAAAGGGGCAAATGGTGTTGGCCACGGCCATTGAGATCTGCGTCTGAGGAGCGGGCACGCAGGGCGGGGGCCACCGTGCCTCCCCGCCTGCAGGGAACATGCCGGCATAGCAGTGTCCGCTCTGTACAGGGCTGTGTGTGGAAGGAATCCATTTTTTTTTTATCTCCCAGAGGGACTCGGATCCGTATCAAAGCAAAAAAAAAAAATTAAAATAAAAAGATAAAAAAGAAAAAAATGGGGGGAAAAGAAAAATAGTCAACAAATAAGGAACAAAAAGCAGGAAAGGTGGCCCTCATTTTGCTCAAGAGGACAATGGACGTGAACAGTCCTCTGTTGACCTCGCATGGCAGTAGAAGACCGCTTTCCTTACACGAAGACTGAGAAGCAAAAGCCAACCATGGAGGGGGTAGCCAGTGGGCTAGTGGCTGGAGGGGAGAGTGCAAGTTGGCCTGGGGGGGTGGCTTAACGTTGAGGAACCATTGGATGCTTGGTGGGAGGGGGAAGGGGTTCCTTCAGCCATCAACTCCTTTCTTGCCAGTCAGAATTGGTTTTTAGATGGCTTCTGTTTTGAAGGGGAGGGAATGGGAACCCTTAAGGATTGACATGGTGGTAGCGGTGGGGTTGGGGAGATGACAGGGCCCATATGGGGCACAGCAACATCTTGGATCTGGTTACATTCTGTAACCAAGCTCTGGTTCCTTTGCGGGTTTGGTTGTGCCTGCTGGGAGAAACAGAATTGGTGCTGAGCCACGATGCTGGGGGCTTGTCCTACAGGTCAAATGGAGACGCACCCACCCCAGGCAATAAGCATGTTCTTGTTATTCAGCCTCAACTGGCTTTACTCTCTGCCCATCTTGGGTGTACGTATCATGCGGTGCAGGCTATCCACCGTGCCCTGCTGTTTTCATGGATGTAGCTGACACAAACTCCTGTGAGGTGAGGCTGATAGCTTCAGTATGTCGGGAAAGGCCTCAGCAAGGGTTAGGAGGATTGTTTCTTGAGTTGACCTCCTTTTCCCGATTTTGAGGTGGTCCCTCTTAGGGAGGGACTCCACTTGGCTAAACTATTAGGGCATTCAGCCTAAACTCACGCTGGCTAGATCTTTTCCTAGGAAAGTACCAGATGCCTCACCCCACAAACACAGATTCTTACTGGCATTCTCCTGCCCCCAACGGAAGTAAAATGCAGACTTAGGGTGGTTTGGGGGAACCTGGAAAAATTACAGGGCTGCCAAGGAAGCAATCGGTGCCACCCATGTAGCAAGTGTTACGTCTGTGTGCGTGTCTGTGTGTGTCTAAATGGTCGTCAAGTTGAGTGCAACTCTTTGCTGTGTGGCCCTCATCCCTCAGGAGACAGACCTGCTTCTGCTTTTAGAGCTGAACAAGAGGAGGGCCAGGCATTGGGGCCTGAGGGCATGGAGGGGAACAGGCAAGCCATTTTGTGCGGGACTGCGCCGCCGCGAAAACTGGGCCCCTGTGTGGTGAGAGACTGTCTCTGGGGAGGCGGGTTCTAGGTGCGAGCACCAACTTACTCCCATGAACCACTGGAAGGGCGAGAGACAGAGTCTCATGGGACTGCAGGTGAGGGAACCTCAAGGCTCTGCAGGGCCGAAGAGAATGAAGAGGCAGGGTCTGAGCAGAGAGTGTGGCCTTGTTACAACACTTTTAGTCTCCGACAGAACAAAGGCACTGCCCGAATCCTTCCTGACTACTTAGCTATGGAGAGTGGGAGAGAGAGCAACTAGGGAAACATAGCATCGGCTTCTGGGAAACAGATGCGAAGCCCACGGAGAGAGTCTCGGAGCAATATCTGCTGCCTCATGGAGACCCTCAAATGGTCCAAAGGGCTCATATCATACGACTTTTCAATCTGGGACACTTTTAATATCAAGCTTGGGGATCTGCGTCTCTTGCAGCAACGAGGCCAAATTTCATTGGCTAGGAGGGATCGGAGAAGGGTAATGCTCTAAAGGTCTCCCCCTCCTTATCCTGGTGTGGATAAAGGATAGATTCCCGCCACAGCACCCATGGGACACCAAGGTGCTGCTGGAGGGAAAATGACAACCTCAAAACATCGGCCTGGATTTTAAAAAAAAACACCATGTGGTCCTGCATCACACGGTTCCGTGCCTCCTCTCGGAGCTGAAGCACAAGGCAACGAGGCTGCTGTCTAGACTACCTTGCAAATTAACGAGGGCTTGGAGTGGAGGGAGCACCTAGAAATCATACAGCCCCCCTCCTTTCACCAAGGGCTCAGACCAATATGGACCTCCCTTTGCCGTAGGTGCGTGGAGCTATGGAAAGGCCCTTCTCCTCAGAATCGCTGGCACGGTGTCCTTTTAGCGCCACCGCTTGGAAGAAAGTTAATTTGAGGGTGGGGAGATTGGCATGGGAGAGAAGTCCTTCCTTAGGGCGTCAACGTGGGTGATGTCTTCTCCCCGTTTCTGTCCGCTCCGTCGTCCCAAGCTAAAGGGTTGAGTGGAGGAACCCAACTTGGTCCTTCATTCCTGTGGGCGACGCCCTCCGTTCTCCAAACCATTTTATAGGATCGCCTTGTGTGTCGCTGTGCGTGTTCGCCCTCCCCGAGACTCTCCTCTGCACAAAGGGCTATATCACGATATTTCTGAAACAACACAGCAGTTTACAAACAAAAAAACACAACATGGCTGTCTACCCCCTCTTTCTTGCCCTGCCCTTTCCAACTTGAGGGGAAATGTGTGTGTGTGTGTGTTTGTGTGTTTATGTAAAAGACAAGGGTGCGTTGTCTGAGTAGGCATCCCCAGGAATGGCACGTGCCTGCCGCAAACACTCTTGCCCAACATATTGACCCCCGATTGTCCGTCAACTCCAGAATTATGGCAGCTTGCCATGACTGCCTAGAATGCTGTCTCCTTTGCTGGACTTCGACGAAGCCTGAGGGACGCCCCCTACCTGCCTTTTCTACTGCCCTTCCGGCCCGCTTTCGACTGGGGGGGCACTTCAACGGTCTTAGCCTTCCTTGGCGTGGCCCTAAGCGATCCAAATCCCCCACCCATTTGTTGTGCCCCGAACCTGCTTGTTAATCTGTCTCTCTCGACACTCCACGCCGGAGTCTTTGGGAGGGGAGAAATGCAGCTCTCTGACGCCCTCCTCTCTTGTTGTCACCCTGCCGCCTTGTGCGTACACGCGTGTGGAGGTTGGGATGGTAGCCGACGCTAGAATTTTTTTTAGAACTAGGCACTGCACCGATTCTAGATATTAGCCGCGACCTCTCCTTTTTGCCTTAGGACCTTTCGATCTTTTGTGCAATAATGTAGATAAGGATTAAGAACACCTTATAGACCTTGATTTCTGTTGTTTTTGAATATATATATATTTTTCCCCAATGTGGGTGTGCGGAGGAGGGAAATAGAAGGGGAAGAATGGGGGAAACAGAGGGTTTGGGGGATATTAGGTGGGCCTGAGTGGGGGTGGTTTCCCCATTAATTTTGTTCTTGTTTTCCCTTCTGTTGACTGTTCCGTCCTGGACCCCTTCTCCCCAATGTAAGAGGGTTTTGTTTTTTTCCCCCCTGTGTTAAACATAGGTTACCTCAGTTTCTGTCACTATTAAGAAGAAGGGAAGCTTTTGAAAAAAAAAATTAACAAAAAAACCCTCATAAAAATGGTAACAAATAATTTTTAAAATGCAAAAAAAAAAATTCTTGTGTGGAAGATGGATAACTAATGGAAGATAAGACGTTTCAGAAGCATTTAAAATGGCAATTTCCTGTTGTAGCATTGAGGCAGTGAAGCTTTTCCAAAGTGACGGTTGCGATAAGGCTGCTTTGGTTCAGGAGGGGGGGAAATGTTCTTTTCTAAAAGTTGAGGCGGCGGGCCTGTGGAATACTGGGTCATTGGTGTCCTTAGGTCAGGAACTATAGCATCAAGGAGGGACCTGGCCAAGATGGGTTTCCGTCAGGAGCTGCTTTTGTTCCCTTGCTGTGACACCTGTTGTGCCTCCTACATGCCCAGAGGGAAGGTGAATGGCTTCACTCTTAGGGTGGATCCGCTCCATATTTTATTCTGAACTTTCCAAGCTGCCGAACGATAATCCCCAAAGAGGTGAAGCACCTGCAAAGTTCAGAATAAAAATGGAAGTGGATCGATCACCTGCCCTCCCACCCAAGTGAAATCGGGCTGGCCTCAACCTCCATGACAGGCTTGTCCTGCTGAAGGGCTGGACAGAATCCACTTCTGTTCCTCACAGAAGCCAGCTTAGTCAAAACAGACTTCACCTTGATTCAATAATACAGTGGTGCCTCGCTAGACGATTGCCTCATGGGATGATAAACCCGCAAGACGATTGTTTTTTGCAATCACTATGGTGCCTCGCAAGACTTTTTTTCTATGACCATGCTTCACAAGACTTTTTAAAAAGACTGATGCTTCACAAGACTTTAAGACCGATGCTTTGCAAGACTTTTTTTTTTTTGAGACCGATGCATAAAACCTCGCAAGACGATTTTTTCACAAGATGACAATTTTCGCGGAACGAATTAAAATAGTCTTGCGAGGCACCACTGTACATCCGACTTCACCTTGCCTCATGGGAACACCACTCCTGTTGTGAGGCAAAATGGGGCATCTATTGAAGGTCACAGAGGTTGAGGGTGGGTGGGCATAGGAGAAGGAAACCTTCCAGCTTGCTCCGGACCTCTATGCTAGCCCACTCCTCCCTGGTCTGCTGCTGGGGAGGGGCCTGTATTTCCTTGCCCGTGTGGAGGTCATGTTGACTGGCCAGTCCAGTAGGCTTCTGGATGTGGACTGAGGTGGGGGAGAGGTTCCATTTTGGCTTTCGCTCTAGACATCAATATATTGTGGGTTGGCCCTGCCTCCTTCTATCCCAGCAGTTCCCAATCTTAGGCCTCCAGATGTTCTTCGATTAAAACTCCCAGAAGCCTTCACCACTCACTGTGCTGGCCTGGAGTTCTGGGAGTTGTAGTCCAAGAACATCTGGGGTCCCAAATTTGAGAACCACGGTCTTGAGTGGCCAACATGGGGAATTATCCCTCCAGTCCTTACACCAATTCCCTTGCTTGAGAACAGCCCCTTTAGGAAAGCTTCACTGCATTACCTCTGTTGTGTTTGTGACTTAGCATTGTGAACTGGTGGGTTGTATATGCACTGTTCTTGTACTGTATTCCTGCAAGGAGAGAGAGGGGGTTTGTTACAAAGCCCCCGTCCGGTCAGGCTGGCCACGTGGCCATGTGGGGAGAACAACTTCCACTCTTTCCTGGAGGAGAGAGAAAGGAAAAATAAAAATAAAAAGAATAAAAGTGGAGCAAAGAACAATCACCATCACACACACACATACACACACACACAAAAGAGCAGAACAAAATCTTTGTAAATATTCTGGGACTCTCTTGACTCGTGCAAAGGAGGTTTTTAAATGTTATTTAATTAATTCTATATTGCAGTCAATTGCTATAAAATAAAAAACCAGGTGTAAAAATACATAGACCCATGTGTCCTTCATAGTTTGACAGCATGGTTTATTTTGTTCCTGGGTTAGGTGTAAAAATACATAGACCCATCTGTATGTGTCTTTCATAGTTTGGAGGTGGGGAAAGGCAGTAAAACGAATTAAAAATGCGTGATGCAACTTTTAACTGTGGTAATCTGGCTACTGAGATGTCATGAGTAACACAATGAGTTTTTTAAAAATAAAATAAAATACAGTAGGGCCCCATTATCTGCAGGATCATTATCCGCTGATTCACTTATCCACAGTCTGAAAATATTAAAAATAATGAAAGAAAAATCCCCCAAATATATATTTTAATGATGAATTTCCCAGAACCGGCTACTAGAGGGAGCCAGAGACCATGGTATGTATAATGTTCACTATTCATTCACTATGATCCACATTTTTCAGCATCCACGGAGGGTGGAGGAGTTTTGGAACCGATCCTCCACTCATACAAGGGGTTCTATTCTGATTTCTGGATGAGAACAATAACGAAGAAGGCATTCTCCTTCAGTTCCCCAGGTCACCTCGTAAGTGGGACATTCCACTTCCTACCAACCTTATCTGCCCCAGGGTATCCAGCTGTGACTATAAGTTTGCTGGTAGTAATGTTGGGCATCCAATCTCCTCATCCCCTGGCCTTACTATAAATGACAAAGTCTGCAAATGTATAAATAGGGTGAGGCTCAGGTTGCAATATACAGAAGGCAGAGCGGTAGACATTGCCCCATCATTTGCATTCCTTTGCTAGCCCCTTTGACTTCTGCAAGTGGAATAGAAGAGGGTCCTTTGTTCTTCGCTTGCTTCAGGCGGCAAAAACAGCTGGCCATGCTGGAAACTTGAAGCACAAAAGGCAAGGCCTTGCCCAACTGCTATCCCCATAGCCTACCAGTTCGTTGATTCATCCCAGATATCATTACACAACGATCAGGAACAGGATATATGAAGTGCACTTGAAGCTAATGGCTTACTGAAACAAAACATTTGCTCTTATAAAAGTACTGTTTTTTCTCCCCTTGAAATCCAGATGATGCAAGACTGGTCCTATCTGACAGCATGGTTTATTTTGTTCCTGGGTTTGTTCCAGGGAAAGAGTTTAGTCCTATGGTGCTTTTACATGAAGTTTGTTGTCAAGTTGGAACACAAATATATATGCATGGTGATCATCATTATTTTAAACAGCTCCAGAGAAAAAGCTTCAGCAGCAAAGTGGGTTACTTGGAATTTCCTTCCTTCCTTCTCCTCATCCCTCCCCTCCCTCCTCCCTCCCTCCCTCCCTTCTCCTCATCCCTCTCCTTCCTTCCTTCCTTCCTCCCTTCTCATCCCTCCTCTCCCTCCCTCCCTCCTTTCTCCCTTCTCCTCATCCCTCTCCTTCCTTCCTTCCTTCCTCCCTTCTCATCCCTCCTCTCCCTCCCTCCCTCCTTTCTCCCTTCTCCTCATCCCTCTCCTTCCTTCCTTCCTTCCTCCCTTCTCATCCCTCCTCTCCCTCCCTCCCTCCTTTCTCCCTTCTCCTCATCCCTCTCCTTCCTTCCTTCCTTCCTCCCTTCTCATCCCTCCTCTCCCTCCCTCCCTCCTTTCTCCCTTCTCCTCATCCCTCTCCTTCCTTCCTTCCTTCCTCCCTTCTCATCCCTCCTCTCCCTCCCTCCCTCCTTTCTCCCTTCTCCTCATCCCTCTCCTTCCTTCCTTCCTTCCTCCCTTCTCATCCCTCCTCTCCCTCCCTCCCTCCTTTCTCCCTTCTCCTCATCCCTCTCCTTCCTTCCTTCCTTCCTCCCTTCTCATCCCTCCTCTCCCTCCCTCCCTCCTTTCTCCCTTCTCCTCATCCCTCTCCTTCCTTCCTTCCTTCCGGAGAAGGTTTCAAAGACCTGGCAGTGTTTCAGGGTTCAAACACTTTGGTCTCCAAGGGGCCATGACAGTGCCTGGGGTGACTGTCGGAACGGTGCTGGTGTTCATGCTGGAAATCTATTCCAGCGCTCAGCACCACACACAGCTTGCACAGAGAAAGCTTTGATGCGCACTCTGTAAAGCCTGGATCCTAGGGGATTCGGCAGCCACTGGCACGGTAAGAGAGCTTGCAGGCTGGTCTCTGACATGGCTCCTCTCCATGAATATGCATGGCGTGTTTTCCTTGATCCGGGCCCAGCCCTGCGGCAGCTGAGCCACTTCTACCCGGAGACTAGAGCAAGGGAGAGCATGGCTGGCGGTGGCCTTTGAGCGACACTGCAAAGAAACGGCAAGGAGGAATGTGACGGGACTGCCAGCTGGAACATGGACCCCATGCGCTCTCTGGAGCAGTCTTGCATCTGGGGGGCAAAGAAGCCAAAGGAAAGCAGTGCTCAGATTACTGGGAGGGCAGTATACGTTGCCACCCCAAGGCTACTATATTTAAGGAAATTGTTAAGGAGCGGAAATCCATTCATTAAAGGTTCCCCTGTTCATATTGATCACAGGGGGAGAGCGAGGCTGGGCAAATGCCAGCATCTGTTCAAATATCACACCCAAGCGGGGCTTGTACTGGGAAACGCTCTTTCTGAAGGTATGCTGATGCAGGGAAATACAGAGTGGTTACATGCTTCCTACTTCCGTGAATGGAAGGATGATTGGGAGAGGGGGCTCTGCCTCCATTTGGAGGACCGTTCACTGGAAACATAGGGATGTTTTTTTGGTAATAGCCAGTTGGTTTTTTAAAAAAGGACACCCATGGGAGGAAATATTATATGCACGTCGAGGCCAAGCAGGTGTCGGGTTCACCGCCCACATCCACGTGAGATTCCTAGAGAATATGAGCGAGAGGGTGGCCGTCACAGATGCTTTTCAGTGGCTCTGGACGTTGCTGAGTCTTTTTGTCACTGGCGAACTGCAGTGTGTGATGGCAAATGCCTATGCTACCCTCTTGTTGTGTGCTGTCAAGTCAACATTGACTTCTGGTGACCTCATGCATGAATGACCTCCACCGTGTCCTGTCCTCGACAGCCCTGCTCTGCTCTTGCAAACGCACGGCTGTGACTTCCTAAAGGAGTCAGCCTATCTCGTGTTTGCACTTCCTCTTTTCCTGCTGCCTTCCTCTCTTGCAAACTCAAGGCTGTGACTTCCTCTTTGGTCTTCCTCTTTTCCTGCTGCCTTCCACCTTTCCCAGCATTATTGTCTTATCCGGAGACTCCTGTCTTCTCATGATGTGCCCAATGTAGGACAGCCTCCATTTCAACACTTTTTGCCTCCAGAGAGAATTCAGGCTGGATTTGCTCTAAGATCCATTCGCTTGTCTTTCTGGCAGTCTGGGGTATCTACAAACTTCTCCTCCAGCGACGCATTTCAAGCAATCCATTTTTTCCCCCTCAATAGTTTTCTTTACTCTCCAACTCCCCCAACCTGTACATAATAACCAGAAAGGCAATACTGCTGCCTCAACCTTGAGGCCAGCTCTGATTGTGAAATTCTTGGCTCACTGCCTCTCTTGTAGCTGCTGCGCCTCATTAGTTCTCATCTGTGGGGTTCCTCATTAGAGACGCCGTTCCACGCCTGCTGTCGGAAGAGGCTTTCCCTCACGCCATCCTGAGATACAGCCGCCGAGACACCCCAGTAACAGGGTCAGAAGATGGACCCGGAGTGAATTCCAGCCACGTACGTAGCTGGACCGAGTTCAGTTCCTTAGTAATGATGGAAATGAGTGTGGATTTCATTAAGGGCCGATCTTATTAAAAGACGAAAGCAGCCCGGTCTGTCAGCCCAGGGAAGTGTCTGACAGCAGGTGCAATCATCTGCACCGTCTCTGACGGAGAGCCCAATTAGTACACCATTAAATCTACAGAGGTGGTGGAAACCGCCTGCAAAGCAGAAGG